CTCCATTATTCATCTATCTTTCTGTCGTGGTTTAAGCCCAGCCGGCAACTTGGAACCACGCAGTCGCTCGCTCACTCCCCCCCTTTTCCTTCCTCCCCCCGCTCCCGGAGGGATGGGGAGGAGAATTGGAGGAATGTAACTCCCACGGGTTGAGATAACAGCTCTCCAGTAACTAAGGTATAATACAAACCACTACTGCTACCAATAATAATGATAAGAGGAATAACAAGGGAAAAGGACACAACCGCTCACCACCCGCCGACCGATACCCAGCCTGACCCGAGCAGCGATCTGGGCCTTCCGGGTAACTCCCCCCAGTTTATATACTGGGCATGACGTGCTGTGGTATGGAATAGCCCTTTGGCCAGTTTGGGTCAGGTGTCCTGCCTCTGCTTCCTCCCGGCTTCCCCTCCTCTCTGGCAAAGCATGAGACTGAGAAAGTCCTTGGTCAGAGTAAACATTACTGAGCAACAACTAAAAACATCGGTGTTATCAGCGTTGTTCCCAGACTGAAAGTCAAAAACACAGCACTGCACCAGCTACTAAGAAGGAGAAAAAATGACTGCTGTAGCTGAACCCAGGACACTTTCCTACGCTGAATTTCCAGTACTTCTCCCCTTGCTTTTGCTATTGTTTGGACACACTTTATTCCCAGCTGAAAGAACCACAAGGAGTGAACCATGTACCACAGTGTTTACATACTTTTACATTGTGCACTCTCTTCTAGCTCCTAATTTTCATTTCCTTGACATTAGTATTCCGTAAAGGAACTGTTAGTTCTAGACTAGAACTATTAATTTTTGCCTTTTGGACAATTTCCAAGCCTTTCCAAATGTAACATTTCAACAGCACTTTGTCCTCTCCTTACCTACAGTTCTTCACTCCAGGGTCTGCAGTTTGACTTCTGTCCTACAGCACGTCACCCCTCACTGTATTTCTGTGACACACCGCAGTGGAAGTGTTTCCTTTGGCTCTTGTAGAGAAATTCTCAAGAAGTCAGTACCGAAACATCTTTAAAGAGCTACTGAGACATAACAACACTTAACGGTGTAAGGAGATTGAAGCAGCCTAAAAAGATTACTTTACCCTCCCACTCTTCACCATGTGCTGGAAGAACACCCTTCCCCACAGCTTGGAGGCTTACTGCATTTGCCTTACCATTACTATTTGAAAAAGAGAAAAAAGCAGCCAATTGTTTAAATAATCAGAGTACATAAATGTTAACAAGCCTGGTAAAACTGAGACAAATGAATTGTTCCTGCATCTGTGAATGAATGCTGATGTTCTCTTTCATTAGTTGCAGTATAACAATATAATTTTAAAAAGAGTCTGTTTCTTATTATGATTTAGAATACTCATTATTCTGGTTTCTGAGCTCCTAAACGTGCAGCACAATGCTCCTTGACACCTTGAAGCTATTTTATTTAAAGGAGACAAGCCTGTTGAACTTTCATAATGTTGTCAAATTGAGTTTGCAGAAGACAGTAAACAGCGGGTGCAGGTTGCCCGCATTCTATTTCTTGCCCCATTGATCTAATGTCCTTATTGAGATAATGAGCCCTATGGAAAACCCACAATCACATAAGGTGTTGAATACAGGTTGTAACTACAGCCTCAGGTAGGTTTACAATGAGCAATATGAGGGATCACCACTGTAATAAAGCCTTCCTATTTTAAATTACTATTAGAAGTACATAGTTTTTCTTTCATTTGTGATCTAAATGCAGCCACCTAGAAGTTAAGGGACTTCTTTCAAAAAGCAAAGGCCATCCACTGAGGGAACTCCTGCTGCCACAGCACAGAATTCAGCTGTTGGGACTACCACAATGCAGGCAGCACTTCTCAGGCCTTTGCCACTGTTTGAAACGTAGTGAGAAAATACCAAGAACCTGTTCAGCGTGCAGTAGAGCACTATGTGCTTTGATTCTGCAAGGAAACCTATGGGGGTTTCTGAGGGCTTGACTTGTTCTCTCAAAAGTAGTTTTTAAATTTAAACTCTAAACTGCTTGTGTTTTCTCCCCTTCTCCTCACTCCAGCTCATCAGGCCATATGCCTGCGGGAAAGACATGACTAGAATATTGATGCTAACACCTCTGGAACCAGCACTGCGGGCACATAAAGCTGCCAGAAGTAACTGTTGCAAAGTTGCAAACACTGCTAATGCTGTAGGGTTCCAGTGGGCAGGTCTCTCTTCAAAACAAGGTTTCCAGCTGGGTAGGCAGAAAGTGATGAGAAACATTGCAAGAGAAAGAGGAAGACTAAGTTGTTGTGTATCAGACACTGCAGCTTCTCAGTCATTAGTAAGCAGGGTGAGGCAAATAGGCTAGGAAAAATGCCAAACAAGCCAGAAGTTTTAAATGTGTAACAGTAGAAGCAGGAACAGAAATCCCCCTTCTCCCATTCTTCAACATAAAAAGAGTGCAAGCTTGGCTTGCTTTGTGCAGCCATCTTGATGAGACATAAGTGCTGCTCTGGAAGCACTTTTAAAGACCACCAGAGGCTATCCTTAGTAACTCAGGAAAAAGGTTTACACATTTTAGTTGTGGACAATATGAATTACAGTAAGAATAGTTACTGGGGAAAAGAGCATCTGAGTTTCTCCACTAGCAAAAGGAAGTTGTTGGATTAAAGATTTTTTTTTTCTTCCCTCAAAAATGTGTATTTGCCCTTTAAACTAAAAACTCTTCTAGAAAAATAAATCCCATATATGATAAAAGCTTTTATGATGTGACTTCTGCTGAGTAATAAAAGCACAACTTTACAAAATAAATAGGCTTTTATCTTTGTAGAAACCAATGTCAGCATACAAACCATTACAGTTCAAAGATTAGTAACTTGTAACTACATATATTATCACAATATAATCAATCCTCTGCTACTTTGCTGTGGAAATGCTAATCAGAAGTTCTGGATTATGTCTTGCAATACAGTAAGCATCATCGATCTCCATTATGATTTCTTCACTGTTCTCTCAGGAGAACATGAGCACACTGACAAACAGCAAGGTTGGCAGTAAGTCTGAGCAGCGGTCTGGGAGATGTTGTACATCATAACGCAATCCCTAAGCAAGAGGTCTTTCCACAACAGGACAGATTCTTAGTTAAACAGCTTTGAGTCTGATGTAGAGTACTGGCCTGGCATCATCCATGCTGCACCACCACAAACCATCTACTCTGGCCTGTCCTGAGTGAAAGCAATTTAAGGAGCATAAAACCATGCCAAAGAGGCTGGCTGAGTAGTCCAGAGCACCCCTCAAGTACAGCTGTGACTCAGACTGGATACACCCATGAAAGGTACTTTGGGTGAAAGGTAGATCCAGGCACTTCCCCCTGTGTGTCACAGTACACTGTGTGTACCCTTACCTAGTATGTGGCTTTGATGTTTTGCCCTGTTGGCCATCTTACGAGTTGCAGTATCTATGTACTGTGCATGGCAGAGGAAAGCAGTACAGTGCACACCAGGAACGGAATCTATATGAGTGGACTGTAAATGAGCAAACAAAAGCCTATCTTTTTCTTGCCTCCATTTGTTTCTCCGTAGACTATAACATATCCAAAATACTTCTGTCTTTTACAAAATGCCATCTTCTTGTACTGGCAGTTCCTAAACACAGTGGTGAGTTGTCCAACTATTCCTAAAGTGTTGTGTGGCAAGACTTAATCACCAAGGAGAGGACAAGAAAGAGAGAAACACACTGTGTAAGGAGACCGCAGTGCCCAATGAAGCAGATAGCAGGAATAATGCTAACCCATTGCTTTTAATATTGTCAAAGATCAAACAAGATACTTTATTCTACAGGTTATTTGTAGAAACCTATTTTTTTTTAACTCACCCTTTGAAGCATTGTTCTGACACACACCACAGCAGATAACTGGAATGCACAGGAAAATCCTGTGTGATCTCAGCTCTATGTAAAAAGGTCTTAAAAACCGGAAGCAGGGTTTTTAAAGCATGCTTGGCTTAAGACACTCAACACTAGTCAACTGGAGATACTCATGTATTATTTTAGTTCACATTTTGCATATATTACTGTAACACTCCCATAACAAAATTACAAGACACATGTTCTTGCGATAGTCCAGTTTTAGGAGGCACTACAGAAGTCTCAGAAAATCAAGAAGCTGAAAAGATTACAGAACGGAAAAAGGCTAACTTAAGTGTTTATCAACATTTTTATTCCGAAGCTTGGAGGATTCAGACATACTGTTATAGGTTCAGGTATACTCTTCTATGCAAAGGCATAAAGTCATATACATTCTAAGCAGAAACGCAAGTAAGCTGCCACTACTATTTTATACTGTTAAATCTCAACTTTTTCACTTCTTAAAAAAAAGTATTAAAAATTTTGTTTGGAGAAACTTCCAACCATTTCAGAACATGTGCCTTTCCTGAGGGCAAAGGGTGCTGGTTTTGCTCAGGACCAAGTTCCTGTTAAGTATTCTTAGTTTCAAAACCAACGAGGGCTGAATGCATCTTGAACACTGGAAAACTAATCACACCTGTCAAAGGGAGTAAGATACAAAATTTTTGCTACCTTTCCACGAACAACTATCTTGATTAGAATAAAAATAAACCAAAAAGGCCTTTCTGCTAGTAGGTAGTACCCATTTAACAACACCTCACATGTTACTAGAAGAGACATGTTTAAACCAATCTTTGAGTAGATTTCTTTAACTACAGGAAAGTCACCTTAAACATTTCCCCCCACAATCCCCTAACCCAAATCCTTATGGTCATCAAAGATGTAATGCATTATCTGGGGAATATACAAAATGCCAAAGTCAACAACAGCTCTCATGTAGTATTTAATGCTCAGACTCTTGCGGGGTGGGAGAAAATACGGTTACAATACATGTGATTATGTTTACAATACTTAAGAATGCAAAATCAAATCCAACTCTGATACCATAGGCTGTTGTATTTATCAATCTTTCAGATGATACTAGCTTTAAAAATACTGTAAACTGATCTGCGTCTAGCAAGGTTGAAGTGAAGAACGCTCACTTCTGCAGGCATTCCAGCTCCGGAGGCAGGTCACAACCAACATAAACTCCATTCATTAAACTGTATTCCAACAGTGCACAAAAACAGGGATCCTGAAAGAGAAGAGGAATGTTTAAATCATGCTGCTCTGTGAAGTGAATTTTCAAACAAATTAACACTGCACATGAATATAGGAGATTGAACAGGACCTTTTCCAGCAAGAGAACTCTACAAATGCTGCAAGCATGGCCTAACACTGGAGGAAGACTTACAGCTGCTCTAAGTTAATATATTTGTTGCACACAGGTGTGGAGGGACTGAACTTACTATTCCAACCATTTCTGGAATACTGATTTCCTTTTTATCTGAAAAAAAAATCAAACATAACATCAAGAAAAGCTCACCTTATTCCCATGTAGGGACCATGCATGGGTTCAAAAGGAGGTCACCTCCCTGGCAGGCAGTTATTTTAACTGGGAATAATCACTTCTACCGAAAGTGAAGCAACTGCATTTTGTGACGAATATGATTGCATTGCATGAGGTTATCAGAACATGCTTACTGGACCTGCAGCCTGCTGGAGAACTTCAGCTCTGAAGTAGGATGCCATACGCACGTTACAATTTCCTTAGTGTCTGGAAGTCTACTGCATGGGTGCCTGAACTGTTCAAATTAGAGGAACCTATGGAGTTCCGGTATTCCCAAAGCCAGACTGAGGACAGCATACCAACTCTTAGCATAATCTCATGCTCCCTTACATCAGATTAACCCCCCAAATCATTAATTTACTGTGGCAAATACCAAAGATATAAAAACAAAACTTACTTTTGCAAGAACATGAGGATTTCCAATGACAATGAGCAAAGCTTTTGCTCTAGTAACTGCTACATTAAATCTCTTTGGGTTAAAGAGAAAGCCCATACAATATTTGTCATCACCAAACAAGCCTTCATGAGATCGCACCTAAAATTAATTATGGATAATTTTAGGAACAGAATAATGAGAAAGCAACTTACCTCGCCATAGCATGAATTTAATGTAGTATGTGCTTGTGCAGTAATCCACATCCAGAGCTCAGCTTCGGCAATGCACAAGTTAACTTCATAATCCAAATTGCAGCTAGCTATTTCCCACCATTGGCTTTCCCACAGGAAGTCCAACAGGCTGCTAAGGCAACTTCAGCAATTTCAACAGAATGGTGCACTGGTTTTATTTTAGCATCAGGACTATCCACTGTAATTTGAATCACAAGACACCAAAACTGCTTTCTAAACCCCACTGATTTTACCTTTTCAGTAGAAGAAATGCTAGTACTGCTGGTATTCCAAGTGTTACAATTGAATGACAACTCGCAGTGCATCTTTTCCGCAAGTCTTCTTCAGCAATCTCATCATTGTGCTTTGACTTAGAAAAAACAGCCAAAGCAACTAGTGTGCTGTAACTACTGCTCATTAAATTTTCACCTCTATCTATTTTATCTTGATAAAAGTAAGTTTTCATGACCAAAATAGTGAGTTCTTATAAACAGGAGTATGGTACATACCTAGAAGTACTTAAGAGAGAAACAATGCTGGATTGAAAGCTGTGGTATGATTGCAGAACAAAGAAAGCAGTCATAGTACCACTGCCCTCAGGAAAAAACCCCCGAACAAGACAATCCCACAAACTCTTCCTCCAAGCCATAAAACAACCTCCAAAACCAATTGCTCCTCCACCCCTGCATCCACCCTGCTTTCCAGTGCTTTGTTTGTTTACATGGCTGTTTTATCTTCCTCTCTTCTGGAAATCCTATGTACTCCTGTTACAAGTAGGCCAGTACTGGTCTTATCTTCAGCTACACATTCCTGGTCTATACTGCTCCTTTGATCAGTTTGCTGTGTATGCCACTACTCAAACTTACAGGCTCTGCCTATTCTGTACATTCTTGAACGGCCCTGAGGGACCTGGGTCACAAACACCTCAGGAGCTCCACATTCCAAACACTTCCATCTTCTAACTTTAGAGACTGCACCAAAACCGCATTACCATTTGGAAAAAAGCAAGTATATGCACACTTTTTTTGTATTCTGAACTGAATTCCACACTGCAGAAACACAGCTATGTAGAGTCCACAGTGGCCACCAAGTCTGAACCCTCAAACGCAATCACATACGCTGACTTGGTATCATTTGCTGATGTTCACACTATTAAGTTAGGCTTTCTCTAAGATTTTCCCCACTGTTTTTTACCCCTGATCCAGCAGAGATTTTTACTTCTGTCCAGGAGTTCAGTGTGCTTACCACAGCGCACATTTGATGGCTGTTGTCTCAGACTGGTACCATGTATCCTGGTAGCAAGAAGCTGTCTGCAAAAAGCCTCAGCCGCTATCAGCTGACTTGTCAGCTGCTGCTTACACTTCTCAACCCCGCACTGCTTTCTCCTTAGAAGCACAAAGAAAAGTCTCCTGACAAGAGCCTCAGCCAACAATCTTACATGCCTGAGAAGACAAAGGACATAAAAGTAGGATATAAAGAAGCTGCTGTAGCTTTTCCCTTTATGGGGTTTTCACATGAATTCAAATACCAGGGATACGTGCATGTGCTGGAGTAATATCTAGTATTTAGAGAGGGAGCTGGCATATGCTTGCATTTAACCTCAGCTCAACTTTGGGAGTCTTCTGAAGCCTGATGTCTCTGCTGCTACAAATAGTATTTTCACACTCTAGTCAACTCCTGAAAACTATGACCTCAACTTTATCTGCCACCAGCAAGTAACATGCACTGAGATCTTTCAGAACAGACATCCATCTACTGAAGCATATTGGTCATCGAGTTTGCAAAAGAAGATGAGAGACAGCTTCCAAATAACAACAGCAACTCCCTCCCAGTACTCTGTGACAATCCTCTTTCCTCCCCTTGTCAAATGCAAGGAATGGGCTCAACACAAGTACTTATGCATCATCTTCCCAAACACATGGATCTTTCCATTCTCACTAAGTGAAGGTATATTATCTGCATGAAACTCCAGAATAAATTCAGCACGAATACCTACAAAGGTTTAAAGTTTAACTCAAAATCACAGATGCTGTACTGCTTCCATGCACCTAAAAATAAGCTGTTTTCAAACACTGTGACTGACAAAATACAGCTTTTAATTTTTAATTTTTTTAACTTTTAAAGCGAAAAGGAACACACAGAATTAGACACGTACAAAAACTCTCTAGAGGACCACAACAAATATACATACTGTTGATAAGATGACCACGACAAATATACATACTGTTGATAAGATGACAGCTGTGTACTCCTGCCCTTGAAACTCTTCTACTGAGCCAACTTTAATGTCTGCCAAATCGATACTTCTGAGAAGAAATCTAATTTTTTCCACCTACCAAAAAAAAAAACAAACCAAAAACCAAAAAACAAACCAGTGTTTGAAGGAATTTACTTTTACATTTGAGAGTGGATTACTTCAAAATTGAAACATACTCTGTATACGAGTATGTGATTTAACAGAGAAGTCTCAGGGGATGCCTATGCCACGCTGAGCCATCATCCACCAGTAAGGTTTTAAAATCCAACAGTAATTTTTCCTGAGAAGCATCACACTCATTACACAACTGAGAAGGTGCTGTACTCGCTACCATCATTGAAACAGAAATCAACAGATTTTTTTAATAATCTGGATTTTAATGAGAAGAACAACTTAGATCCATAAACCCTTTTCTTTCAATACTCATTATATCCAAACCCATGCTTACCACAGACGTGGCAGGGCAAGCAGCTTCCCCCAGCCCCTCAAGATGACTATGCAGATTGCACCTTTGCCAGCTGCATCATGCAGTTAAAGACAGAGGTGAGATGTGACCTTAAGTACCCTCCCCAAAAGAGAAAGAGAAGGAGTCCCGTGCACCGGAATGCTGCTGTGTGCGAGGTCACCACATTACAATCTGCTAAAAGCTGCTTGGAGAGCATATGCTAAGAGCTCCAAGAAATTTACCAAGAAACCACGCCTGGCTAAGCTGGGGTTTACAGCCAATGACTACTTTCTCATCAGTGTTCCTGCAATACCAGGTGACTTCCTTGAAGCAGACATTATTCTTCTTTGTCTTGCACCACAGGCAGATGAAGGACATAATTGTATTAAATGATGTGAAATGTTCTAGGGAGTATAAGAGGTTCAGCCATGTCAATATATAAATATTTAAAAACAAACAGTAACTGCAAACACAGGCAGGCACATACACCTGACCAGAAGGATCAGTGTATTTGCAAGTGCAATCTCCTCAGAAGCGGTTGGTCTTTTCCACACAGGTCATGCTGTGTGGGTTGTTTCCCCCACATGCACATACAACCCACACATGCAATGCCATGAAATCCCAGATGTGAACAGGAAGGAAAACAAGATGCATTGCCCAGAGCATCTCTGGAAATGAAAGGAGATGTAGCCTTAAGTACATGACGCCTGCTTTCATTTTAAACAGATGTGAATATAAATAGTTTTAAAAATAATGCTCAGCATTTGAAGTTGACATTCAACATTCTCTACAGGTTTAAATAGCAGCACAAACTTCAAGTCTGACTACAGGACAGCTAAGTCATCCCAATTCTTCTAGTTTCTTCAAAGCCATAGCAAGGTGACATGCCACCTACTTCACTACATTTCCATTTTGTTCCAGTCCTCAGTGCAGAAAGTGACAGAATCAGATTGCTGCTCCAGCTCTTGGATAACAAATTCCTGACTCACACTCTTTACTCCCAACAACTGAAAATTCTGCTTCCAAAACTGCTTGCCTTAATCATTTTCCAATTTTTAAAAGTAAAAAGTAGAATGCTACTACTGCTGTTTTTCTCTAGGTTTAGATTCCAATGGAAACACCACTAATGATTGATAATACACTGTGTAGTATGACACACACCAGCAAAGTTTTGAGATATGCCTCCCTGCTTTAACAAACCACAGCTACAGTGTAAAACCACAAGATGAAATACAGCAACTCTGAAGTTGTTAGACATCAGTTATACCTGTTTACGATATGGTGTAATCACTCCAATGTCAGTCACTGGCACTGCAGTGTACTCACTTTTAGCAAGGTGAGAACAGTACTGCATTACTTGAACTGCTTCCGTTGGATTAAACCATGAAGGATTGTGACTTTCACGTGTTTCACTGCCCTGTATTAGGGGAAACAAGATGAGGAAGACCAGGTGCAGAAGTGACTATTTAGTAATAGATTATTCTTATACATACTAAATGCAAATGTTATATGCAATGTTATATACAATTTGTCTTCTTCCCTATACACCCTTTCCAATGAACAGTATCACCTAACTATTTTTTGTTAAGCTTGAGAATTTATATGACAACAGTGCTTTAGGTGTGCAATAAAGGAGTTAAATGTCAGCTCAGAATAACATACATTAGCACATTGGTATCCTGCACTTGTGCAAGGTAGAAGAGCTCAAAACCAAGTCTCTTCAAACAGTGGATATTATCACTTTTTACTAACTTCTAGGAAGACTGAAGAAAAAAAAAAATCTTGTTCTAAAGTACTGTTTTTTCCTCTGCCTATTTAAGCCTTAATACTCCTCTCGTTTTAGAGGCTTGTATTCATTTGAATAAGCAAACTCTCAACAAAAGCAATCTAAAGGCATCTGACTGTAGCTGCATCTTGGTTAATCTGCTATGAATTTAAATTTGTGTCAAAATGTCTCCACAATACACTGCAATGGGCAGCTGCTCAAGTTCTTAGCAAACGTGTGACTTTAGTAGTTGTTTCTAAAACCAGATGCTCAGGAAGTCATATTACTGGCAAAAGAGAGTTTCTTGATTTTTCACATCCTTTCTAGAATTTATTCTAAGGAAAATTCATTTAAAGAAAATTCATCTACAACATCAGCAAACTTCTATCAGGCCTCTTCATATGTATTTTCACTACATGAACATTTTACATACCCTTATTCCATGAAAAATTAGTGGAAATCCCTTCCTGGGCAGTTTCCCCCAACGCAACAAAGAATTTACTACTGAAGTGTCTGCACAAACTTCTAGCTCCTTATGATAAAACAATTTTGATGGCAAGGCAAGCAATGCACGATGTGACCTGTAGTTCTTTGTCAGTTTTGTGATCTGCAAAACCAAAACCTGAAATCCGTAACTGAAACGGATAATTATTCATTAGACTTCACACTACAGAGGTCCCAAGCTCTGAAGACAGGCTGAGAAAGTTGGGGCTGTTCAGACTAGAGAAGACTGTGTGGAGACCTCATAGCAGCCTTCCAGTATCTGAAGGGGGCCTATAAGGATGTTGGGGAGGGACTCTTCATCAGGCACTGTAGTGACAGAACAAGGGGTGATGGGTTTAAACTTCAATGGGAAGTTTAGATTAGATTTTAAGGAGGAAGTTCTTTACCGTGAGGGTGGTGAGGCACTGGAACGGGTTGCCCAAAGAAGTGGTAAATGCTCCATCCCTGGCAGTGTTCAAGGCCAGGGCATGGTGTAGTGTGAGGCGTTCCTGCCCATGGTAGGGGGGTTGGAACTGGGTGATCTTAAATTCCTTTTCAACCCAAAACATTCTATGATTCTGTGATTACTTTACCATCCTCTAGCATTTAGTTTTTCTAAAGCTGCTGAAGACCTGTATTGAATGCAAAAACTGCAGGTGTGATCTACTCTAAACAAATAAAAAAGCAGTTTTTTGAAGGACCATCTCTTTCCCCTCCAGGGAGGGGAAAAAAAGGAAGAAAGATAAAACCAGGTGAATGTACTTGATAGATGAATTCGTTTGAATGGGGTTTCCATGCATGTAACCTGTTTGTTTTTTTTTTTTTGAGGAAGTCTTGACAGGCAGAAAAGGAGCATTAAAACAGCTGACAGAGGCCAGAAATGTGTTTGTCTTTAAATAAAAGAAGAGCCTTAGGAAATAATTCCAGTCCATAATAAGCAGCTCAAAAACCAGTATGTCCCATAAAAAAAGACTAACATGATAGTCAAACTGAAGTCAAATAATATCTTTAAAAGCCCTCATACTTCCTGCTGTCTCATTATGCCAATTCTATTCAAGGATTGTATAAGGCACACAGCGATGAAAGTTTGCTGTAACAGGTTTTAGGAGGAAGTATGACAGGTTTTTCAGTAGGCTGAACCCAACCTAAAGCCTAGGGCCAAACACCCCACTTTCTCCAATAGGTCTGCAAATAGATTTTTTTCCCTCCTTTGCTTACATGGTCATCTAGTCATCTATGCTCTCCAGTCATCTGTGCTCTCAGTTTAATTCTTCAGAGTGTATTACCATGAGAATAGGAAGGCTTAGTAAGTTTAACTTCAGCCCTGTACTTCAGATTCAGACAGTAAGTTAAAGCAGTTGAATGATCTGTGCTTGTTTATGTACTATGCTACCTCTGCCTCTTAATGCAGACTTTGGGTACTTCACCACACAAGGTTTTGGGAAGCCATACTTCAGAGGAAGAGGTGATAAAAAAACCCCTCAAATCGAACAATCAGGAACCACTTTCTTTTCCTTTCTGAAACATGGTGTTCGCAAAATTAATCTTTATGTTTAAACAGAAGGCTTTTTTCTAATCTTTCTGTCTTAATAGTAGAATCTGCACTCACGTAAGTCATGAAGTTACAGTAAATGTGGATCATGGAGATGGAAGGGAATTTTAAACCATTATTTAGAATTCTGCTTTGTGTACCATATTTGACTTACTCTGATTAAGATTAGAGAATCCCTTCAAAGGAGGGTTTCAACATGCTGGAGGACTCAGCATCCTTGCTATTCAGAGTATATATTCAAAATAATCAAGGCTTCCTAGAGAACTAATGCTCAAGCTAGACTAATCATTAAAAGCATCAGGGAGCAAAAAAGTAGTAAGGAAACAGCAGAAACCACAGTTACTCCTTTTTTGATATATGTAAAATTAAAATTGTAGTTTTACTCACCAGCAAAGGATTATATGCTCCACAGGCAGCAAAAGCATCCTTATCCCTCTGATATATCTCTCTTGATGTCAGTCTTTCCAGAAAGGACATGTTTAATCCAAAAGTCAGTGCAATTTTAGATTTTATTACTGGCCCTAACTGCTTTGGATCTCCAACAAGAACTATCTATATATGGAATAAAAAAAAAAAAATTAAAATCCATCTTGTATTATAAAAGTTATTAAAATGTAATTTCAGTAACAACATACACAATTCAGAATGAAAAGGACAACTGATATGAAGTATTCTGCTTTCCTGAAAACATCTAATCTGTCTGCATGGGCCCAGGACAGAAGTACATTGTTGTCTTAAACTAAGGAAGTGTATTTTTGTTTTGACATCTTCCACGCAGAATTCTATCTTACCAATGTGGACTTGTTTTGATGTAAAACTACTCATGCAAGTGTGGCAAGCAGATATTGTGTATGAATAAGATTCATTACAAGTACTCAGAATTCCATACTCATTACCAGGAAGTTGCTGCTTGCATTCACAGAATTAAAAACAGTGGACCAAAACTTTCTTCCTTTCAGCAAATGATGCCAAGAGAACTACCTGTCCATTAGCTTCTGATATCAACCCAATAGGAATCAGGCTCTCGGGTTCAGTTGCTTGTCCGGCCTCATCCAGAATCACATGAGTGAAGTGTCCAAGCCTAGAATTAAACAACATGAAACCAAAATAGGGCTGTTTTCAGATTAGTTCATTCTGCCACCCTGCGGCTGACCTCAGCAATTCTGTTAACTTCCTTGTCAAGCGTGCCAGCAACTCCATTCACTGAGCAAAGATGGGTATTTTCAACATGCAACATAGAAAAAAAACCCCAGTAACTTCAATTTGTCATCTGTGCTTTTACTTACGTCCTCCAATATACACAGCCACTGGTTATCTTAATTAAAGCATTGTTCATACTAAGGTTAAGACACTCGGAAAAGCCTTCCTCGCTCTCAGTTTCCTTCGGCTATTTAATTAGAACAGTGCACTTGGTGGAGCCAAGACAATCCCCAGGCTTTGTTTCTAACAAACAACTCAAGACAGTTAGGCTTCAGAGTGTCCTTTTACAAAGTTAAAATCAAAATCAGAGGAAGCTTTAGTTACCAGCACTTGACATGGTACTTTTGGAGGGGGTTTTTTTTGTTTGGTTTTTTTTTTTTGTTTTGTTTTTTTTTGTTTTTTTTTGTTTTGTTTTGGGGGTTTTTTTTTTTTTTTTTTTTTGGGTTTTTTTTTTTTTTTACAGTTAAAGGTGACTTGGTAAAAGCCAAACATAACATAATTTTCAAGAGCAGTATCATTTCCAGGACTCCCACTTAATGGAGGAAAAGTTATCGTGTCAAAAATTTCTAAACATTATTCAAGATAATTCTTACATTTACCACAGAGAAAGTCTCTGGCTGAAGTATTACTAAAACAAAGTTGTTTGCCAGGAAGACAATTTCAAAAGAGATGTACATCCAATAAACTGTATTAAAAAAGCTGAAGTTATAGTACAGAGGGTATATAAAAGCTCTGGGCTTTGTACCACTCAGCTACCTCGGTGACATTCCTATCTATAGTACTGTACCGTATTTCTGCTTGATAAAACATTCCTGCACTGCTGCATGTGGTAATTATTATCCTGAACCATAATGCCTTCTGAATATCATCACCATCCTTGCAGTACGGTTTCACCATGTCATTAATTTGCTGCAAAAACAAAAAAGTATTTTGCCAAACAAAATGCCACTCTAAACCAAACTGTTTGAATTAAAAAGCCCACTGAAAACTACTTTAAAAGCTGAGCAAAACACTTTGATTTAAACCCATTCATACACCAAAATGAATTCTTCATTAATATGCCTAAAGAAAGTAGCACATATGCAAGACATCTGTGGGTTTTTCTATTGTCAAGATCAAAATTGAGCATATGGGATGTTTTGTATACTTACATACATATATAAGCATATACATATATATAAAATGCACACACAATGTGTGTTGTATAAAGATGCCAATCCTACTTGTTTACTTTTCTGTGTAAGTAGTCTGAGTCTGGAGACAAGGCTTAAAGTCTGTTTCTGAAGTCAAGACTGCTTTGTATGTCAAAGCATCTTACATTAAAAATCTCACTGATATGCATGTGCTGCTTGTGGAGTTAGGCACAAGGAAGAGGTCAAGATTCTGTGGTTGTACAATCAAATTAAGGATTATGATCAGCATTTTCCAGTTAATCTTCTGGAATAGCTGAAGCAGTATGTTTATAATCTGGATCCTAAACAAGCCTAACCAGCCTAATAACCACTGACAGTTACCAAATCAGTCACTTAAGACCAAAATATTAAAATGGAAATATGAACTGGCAGATATTTTATCATATTTACCTCTTCTGACCTGAAGCTAGCATTAACTCGGACCATACTTCCTGGTTTTAACAGATCGCTCTGATGCAGCCGCAAGCAAATCAGATCTGTTGCAGCATTTGATGGCGCACAAACCAAAATTCGACTATCTGGTAGCATGTAATGTATCTACATTAAAGAAGATGGACATTAAAAAAAAAAAAAAAGAAAAAAAAAAAGAAAAGGTTATTTAGAGAAGTAGCAATAGCTTTGCCCAATTTATTTCACTGAACACAGAATCCTGAAGTTCTGCGTACGTGTTATATTCATCCACCCTTTTGTAGCTCAAGACCAGCCATGCCAGTCACAACTACTCTCAAACCGAGTGTACTGACAGCAGAATCAATTCACTGTTACCATATTAACGTATACCCATCCTTCACAAGTGTTTTATGCCCTACTGGAATCACAAGTTAGATATTGTTCACTAAAGTTTTAAAGACAAAGACAAAGTGGTTTGAAAATGAACCATTCAGGAATTCTATTAAATCCATTTCAAGATCATTCCTTTTTCTCTGAGCTTTCGAAAATGATCTTGGGAAAAACTCCCTGGGGAAAAGTAAGACGGTACTTACAGAATTGCTCTAAGTATCCCAATACTGAAAAGATTATAGATGACTTGTCATCCACCATTACCTGTAAAATAGCTTCAATTACTGTTACTGTTTTTCCAGTTCCTGGTGGTCCAAAAAGAACATAGGGTGTTGGACGGCATTCACCACTTAGTATCCTTTTCACTGCCAGTTTCTGTTGCTCATTCAGCATAGGATTGAAAAATTCACCAGCTCTCCGTTTAAGTGTTCCACTTTCGCCAACTATAATCAAGATAAGCAGGTATTAGAACTTCACAGAAATATTTTTAACACAGATTCAAACAATTTCAATTCACATTATGCTTCAAAAAGCTGTCATTTTCTTTGTGTGGTAAGAACAAATGAAATTCTCAAAAATTCTGATTTCATAGAATAGCGTGTAGGAAATAAGCCATTAGTATCTCAGGAATGTATTGGTTCTTTAATAAAATTGAAGGCCAGAAAAGGACTACGATTATGTAACTCAACAATCTTGCAAAAAACCTCTATTCTGTAATTCTAGCATCAAGCTCACTGTTTTGGTCCTGAATCAGCAAAATCTCAGTAACTTTCAGTAACTGGTACTGCAGGCATAGTACCAGTAGTAGATGACCAATAGTAAGCCAAAACTACCAAATTTTTTTCCTTAATCCTGTCTGAATTAGTGTAGCCTTAGCTTTCCACAGCAGAATCTTACCAGCCCTTGAATAGAAGTGCATTCTAGGTAATCCATTCTGTATTTCTTCAAGCATCCTATTGCTACAAAGTGACTAAATTTCCCTCTTAAATACACTGATATTTAAATTCACACTTTCCAGGAAAGTACAGGAATGTTCTGAAAAGCCTTTTAAAGATATAGCATCTTTGGCAAAGCAGCCATCCCAAGGATGAGACACAGCATCCCAGTTGCAAATTGGAAACTTTGAACATGACCAAAAATTTTCCAGTAAATGACAGGGAGATGATAATTTACTGGATACAAATACATCAGTAGGTGTTTGTTGTCCCCACCCTGGCAGTGTTCAAGGCCAGGCTGGATGGGGCTTTGATCAACCTGGTCTAGTGCAAGGTGTCCCTGCTCATGGCAGGGGGGTTGGAACTAGATGAGCTATAAGGTGCCTTCTAACCCAAACCATTCTACAAATGGATGTTTAAGTAAACCACAGAAAGACTCCAATGAAACTTCCTGCTAGTAATGTTCTAGAACGTGTCTTTAAAAAGACAGGGCACAAGGATATCTCGAAAGTATCTCAGTCAGCCCTGGTTTACTGAAGTGACTGCAATCCTGAACTAATACCTTATATTCAAGTATAGAAAGTATACCAAGTTGGCTTGTTTGCGCAGCTGCTCTCATCACATCTGGCATGTTCATCTCCCTTGATGCCATGCATTTTGACTGTTTGTTCTGCAGTTTTTTCACCTGAAAACAGCAAGTGAAGGTAAATGCATTTGTTAACTTTAACATGCAGGCAACTACCTTCATTAACACTTTTTGAAGTTGCTAGGTTTCAATTTTTCCCATTATATAAAATACTGTGAAGACAGAAAGATAGAGTAGTAGAAGGTGCCAGGAATTCCCACCTTCAATTTCAGATTTCTAAAAGACTGGTCTATGATAACATTAAACGTTTATTTCACAAGTATTTTTCAGGCTCAGATGAGGATTTTGAAGCCATAACTGAGTAACTTGTTTCCTTCCACAAAAGCTAACATTCACATTCCATACGAGCAAGCAAGATGATACCTCTCTTTCAGATTTCAGCATAGAAGAAAGCTGCTTATAGAGAACATGGTGTTTGCAAGGTTCTGGACCAGATGTGTCAATCATCTTAATAATACTGACGCTATTTTGAGGGGTAAGCTATTATGAGGGGTCCACATAATATTCTTCACCATCATTCTAGTCAAACAGAAAGGCCCCAGAAGAAGCAGGCATCCTGCAGAACAATAACTAGCTGTGTTGCTGCTCTCACCAGCATGGTTCCAGGTCTATGCACAGGAGCAATCTGACTGCACATTATTAACTGCAAAACCAGAGATGTGTCCAAGTTACTACAGGAGGATGCAACAGGAGCAATACTGTCTAGTGGTCTGTAACGAATTCCCACCAGGAGGAAGACAACATGGATGAGACTTCTGACAAATAACTGACATGTGACCTAATCACAGGCTTCATGGAATTTCAGTCACATACCTGTTGTGATTCACCCAGGAAATGCCTAGAATATCTAGACTGAGTTGGTGGCAGCTTCCCCACGTAAATGGCTGACACACTGATCCGAAATAACACTCAGCTAGACTTGCTGCTCATACACAGGAAAGTGCACGTGTCCATATACCAGCTTTTGTTGCAGAGATTGCAAAATTGGAGGAAGGCTAAGAAGGTGAAGCAAGAGAGTCAGAACTCTGGCCCTTTTGGAGCAAACCTGTTTCTATAAGAAATCACCAAGTAAAATCCTCTGGAAGCTAACATGTGGGGCAAAAACATGCCTGGGAGAGCTAGAAGTTGTGTATTGAGAGATCATAAACCAACCATCCTGCTGTACAAGATCATGAGGAATTTCAATAGAAGGCCTTGTTTAGCTAAGCTTGTAGCTATACTTAATGAATTTGTAAAAAGCTTATTACAAGCAGGGAAAAGGACAAGACAAATTATAAAACCACTGTTTGGACAGTTGGATAAATTCAGGAAGGTCAAAGAGATCAAAGTACAGCTGAACCCAAAATGTGTCAGGAAGAGAGCAGTAAGAAGGATTTAGAATATGCTGTGGTGTAAGAGAGACAGTTCAAGGATCATGGAGGCTCACAAATAGATAAGAGAAGACAGAAGGGGAGGACCATGCTACAAACTGCTCAGAGAAGCTGGATAGGGTAGATGCGGGTTGCCACACTGACAGAATTGTGGGCACTGCTGCCTATCATCTACAATAAGAAATAATTAGGACCAGCCAGGGAATATTTCTAACAGCAGGAGAAAGTTAATATTACTCCAATCTTAGATGTACAAGGAAGACCCAGGTAACTATAGCTCATCAGCCTCACTCCAGTCCCTGAGAGTATCATGGAGCGTATCTGTGTGGATTCCATGTCTTTCACATGACTGGAAGAAAGGGTGACCTGGAATAGTCGACATAGCTAAACCATAGGGCAGACCTTTCATGACTAACCTAGTTTTCCTCTATGACAAAGAGACTATTATGTGGATAAAAGAAAAGCAGTCATTGTAATATTCCTTGACTCAGCAAGGCTTTTGAAATTATTTATTTACCATGTTATTCTTATTTGTAGCTTGAGGACACAGTAGCTAGATCCACAGACAGACGAGTTGAAAATTCACTGAACTACTGGACTCAAAGTGTATTAATCAATAGCTTGATACTCAGCTGGAAGCTGCTCGAAAGCTAAGAACCCCAGGGTTGTTGGGACCAATATTATTCAGTACCTTCATTAATGAGATCAAAATAACACCCTTGACAAATCTGCAGACAACACAAAATCAGGAGTCATACCTCAAATGCATCTTCAGTTCAGAGGGACCATAAGAAAATTCATGAAATTCAGAAAGGAGAAGTGAAAGCTCTACACCTGGGACTGAATAACTGTGCGAACCAAAACAGTCTGAGAACACAGTGGCTGAGTAGTAATCCTCAGCCCTTTCCAGGATCCTGGGCTACTGTGAACACTACAACTGTATATGAGCCACTGTCATGTTCTTGTTATCAACTGGAAATGCTGAGAGCGCTCAGATTTTAGTTTGGCTATGAGGAAGTGAAGAGGCAGTCTAGTAGCCGATGATGGCTTAAATCAGAGTTACAGAAAAAATGAGACAAACTCTTCCTTGTAGTGACATAACAAGGGATCACCTCTACCTGTTGCGGGCAGAAGATTCATACTGGGAATTCAGCAAAAATCTTGAGTGGAAAGGTGGTGAAGTACAGGTTATGTAGAGGCTGTGGAATCTCTAGACAAAAATAATGAAACACCTCCCACCCTCCCCCAGGCTGACTCAATTTAGTGATGATGACAGACCTGCTTCAAAAAGAAAGGAGGACTAGAAAGGACTTCAGAGGGTTACCTAAGAAAGATTTCTATATATTCTTCATGTAATTTAGCAGTTAAGAACCCTGGGTAAATCCGCTCAGAATAGGACGATTACTTCCCATCATAAAACTAGGCCCTGCCACAGTTGACAAGACTTAAGCATCTACTCAACAGTAGCTATGAAAACTAGCCTAAGGCAAATCTGACAACTGCAATTATAATCATACAGGTTTTTTTATAAGCACTTGCCTTAGCTTAATAGTATTAGTTATCATAAAATCGCCTGCCCAGGCAGCAAAGACTTTTATCATCAGAAAGCAGCAGAATACAACTTGGATTCTTTGATACGCCATTATGCAATTCCTTTCTAACAATAGCTGTACAGTAGGCATCTGTTACCAGTCTGAATGGCAGTCAGCATTTTAAGGAACATTTACAGAATAGATACCTTACTTTCCTGCTGGGAACATTGTTCAACGCCATCATCAACAACACAATACTTAACAGTATTCTGGGTCTTGACAGCTTGTGGTGATTGCAAGACAAGTCTTTCTGGAAATAACACTTCAAATTTAGAAAAAAAAAGATAGAGAGATTTGAAAGCACATTTCACTGATTAACATTACTGCTGACACATGAGCTTGCTCTAAGTTGCCAAAACTCATTTATCAGAACTAACGTAAACGTGGTAAAGAGACATATGAAGTTCATATGGATTGCTCTACCCAACCATACAGCAAATCAGTGCTTTGTAATAAATTCTGAGGTAACAAACCACTGCCATTTCACTTGCTATTATTCTATCAGTGTGATTTCTACATCTGCTATTGGCTCAAAACAGTTCAAGGCTTGTTTCTGCTCCTCTCCCCTGTAATGGCCAACAGATGAAATCACCCTGATGATACCTACTCTAGATTCAGAGAGTTGTTAAAAAAAAAAGCCATTACAGAAAACTCCTGTAAGTACAACCTACAATGCATTCTTCTCAGTATGCCCTGATGTGAAAGCAATGTAAACCACAAGAATCCCCACAAACTCACCCCTCTAGACAGCTTAAGTCAACTGAAGTGTACCTTTTTCACCCAGGTAGATAGCTTGCTCAACTGCCAACTGGCATCGCCTGCTAGTAATCCTGTTATCAGAATACAAATTTGTAGATTAAAGTGCTTATATTTCAATAAACTACTGCAGCATACAGCTACAAGGTATCCTGTAATTTTTACTGTGCACCAGTCCATACAGAGATATGATTTTTTTATATAAAAACCACTTTATTTTTTAAAAGAAGCACCTATTGAGAAACACTGCAGAAGTGTCAACCAACAGCTTTGCTATGAAAAATATTAATACATGTATCCTCTAGCCCTTCAGTGAGACAAAGATGGCCTGGTGTTCCAGGCTCAGATAGTCTTGCATGGAAGTTCTCTGCAAAACTGATTTTACAGAGAGGATAATGCAACTCTGTACAGATAATAACATCTCACAAATGAAACAAAACCATAAAAGGACAGGTGGTTAGCATCAGCAAGTTTTGCTCCCCCTGCCCATACTCTTGCAGCCATATTGGTGTACTTTTTTTTGCCTTAAAAACCCTCAATAAACCAAAACCAAAATACCCTACCTCATATCCTCCCCTGGCCACTGCACTGCCTGGCACTGGCGCATTTAGAGACGCTTAAGAGAAGAATTATTTGTATATCATGATTACAGCTGCAGTCTTTTACTGATGAATGTATGAAAGAGGTGAAAGAGTTGGCAAGATCTTAATTATGTCCTTCTCCTACCTGTATCTATCAAAACAACCAACTGACAATCACGTACATTTTAGAAGTCAATTTACTAAAGGAATCATTACCTGCTGCTTTTTTGAAATACAAAAATACCTGCAATGAACAAACTCTACATCCATGGGTTCTGAGTTGTAAGACTGTTCAAAATCTGCATTAAATTTAAGAGTAACATCTTCATTACATATCTGTTGCAAAGATTAAAAAAAAAAGTCAGTTTACTGATGAAAGTTTAGTACTTTAAACACAAAGAAGCATCTCTGAAAGCACTGAACTTCCTCATCATCTCCAAAAAGAAAACCTAGATTTACTTGCTGTCAATATACTGTATATCTACATTATGTTATGAGTGCTTTCAGAGCAGGTAAAGATTATAATCTAAAAAGCACAGGGAAGCCAAAGACTTAAAGAATGCAATAAAAATACAGAATGACTTCTCAGAATGTAGATAAAATAAATTTAGCTTCCCCGGTATCAGGTTAAAATAGTCTGTAACTCCATGAATTGCCAACTTCCCCTCTGAAACTTGTGGACCACAGTATTTTCAACAGGAGACACATCTTGCTTACCTCAGTAATATAGGCAATGTATTCTATGATATGTTCAGAGTAGACCTGACTTTTCAGTATCACCTTATCACCTAATTGTGAAAAAAGTTAAAAGGCAACATACTGTTACAAGGAATTCTCACCACAGCACTAAATATTTTGCTTTTTTGCATGGTTAAACTAGGAATCTGCAGGATACTAGATGTTAGCTAACCAGCAAAGTTGCTGTATTCGTGAGCACCTGTTCTGGAATGCCATATGCAGTTGTGTATTACATTTTAAAAGGGACCTAACATTTATGCCATAGACAACACCTCCTGAAAACAGTATCTTAATATATTAATTATTTGAGATTCTGAATTTAAACTACTTTCCTGGTTTTTGCTTTTGATACACCTCTTGTCTTTTAAGTTATTACTACATTGCACAGTTTATTTTTGCAGAAAGCCTCAACTTTTGCACATGAAAAATCCTAAAGTATTGGAGTATGCATAAGAACAGACACATGCAGCACCGCTTCAGACAGCACCCACTTTAAGACCCGCACTGAGGCGCTATCAGTGCAGTTCACCTGTCTAGTAGCCTAGATTAGTAACTTTGTGTTCAAATACATGTAAAACTTCTTTAAACAAATGAGTAAGCAATAGAGTTTGAATTGCACTGAAAATATTGATCAATGTGCTACTTGGCTTTATCTCACATTAATTACTACCTGCAACGAGACGAGGTCTGCCCTCTTCCACTCCTGGCACTTCCAACACTAAAAAGTTCCCACTTCTTTTCAAAGTAACCCCACTCATGTTAAAGTCTTTTATCTCCATTTCTTCATGGATCTCTTCAAGCCACAAGAGAGTAGAAAACTTTGCTTTATAATTATCTAGATTAAGTTGCTGAAAAATAAACCAGTATACATTATGGTTGTAATTTCTACACTTAAGATGTGGAATCCACTATTCTTAAACTTACACAAAACACTTCTTAACACAGACTGCACAGCAACTGGGTTGCCAATTAAGGCACCTAAATACATGTTTCTATACACTAGCTAAAATTGTAAATCCTTCAGTAGTCAAAAGAGAATTAGTACAGTCCTTGGAGCTCAGACACAATGGCCAGCCAGCTGAAGAGTTAACCAAGTCTCTCCCTCCTCCAACAGCAATTTCAACATCTGAATTCAGGGACAGTCTCCAAAGGGATTTCTATCCTCAGCAATCCCAGAAAGCATAAAATCCAAGTACACTGGGCAGAGATGATTGAGAGAGTGAGTCATATCTGTCTTGGACCTGGCTGATGATTATACAGTTTACGGCAAGCTGAAAGAACCTGATCTTTCTTCCTCAGAGCTTAATGCATCTCACTGAAGAAGTATTTTCCAACAGTAAAAAGTTCTATCTAAACAATGACTTGATAGCACAGAATGCTTTCTATTTGGTATCTTCTCACAAACACAAGGCGAATGAGCAGTGCTTTCTGGAGCAGACTTAAAACAGTCACAGAACTTAAGGCGTGGTTAAAAGTTACCAAACTTCCAGTATAAAATTCTTTCAAACATTACAGAGTTTTGTATTTTTGAGAGGATCACTGACCTGCTATCTTAATGCTGTGACCTTAGGTTTTGCACGAGCTGTTTAGAAAACAGACAACATAGCCTTTTACATTTTTGAAAAATTAAGTATCAGGCCAAGTCTGTAAGTCCTTAAAGTTAGGAAAACAAAACAGTGAGTAACAGCAATGTTCTACCAGAAACCAGGACAAAGTTCTGGAGAAGGAATCACTGGAACATTCTTGTTAGAATATACACATCAAAAATTAAAAAAAAATCTGAAATTGCTGTACTTGTGTGAAGAATTTGAACAAGCTGCAGTTAATTAAATTTGAAGATTTAAAGAAAACCAAAAAGTTCTGAGCATCCAGAAAACAGTCCTCTGTTATTGCAGTATCTTAAGAATTTCTGCTTTCATTTACTACGAGCAAACTGCTGGACTACTGTTCTGACACCAAAAAGCCCCCTTTCAAATGATGCTCCAGAAGTGAAGAGGCATCTCTGTTCAGCCTCTGTAGTGTCCCTGCCCCATGTATCTCCCCCTCCCCATATGCACCTACTCCCTTTTCCGTTTTTCACATTTACCCTTTTGTACTCTTGTAGGCTTGGATACCGCGTCATACTGGAACTCAACAGAAGTTACAGGATACGGACTAAAGTCTACAACAGTATTACACCATCTTCCGTTACACCAAAGGGCTACACATTTTTGTTAAACTAAGGCCAGCTTGAACAAACACTATACATAAACCATATTTTCTTATATAAACCTACACTTGCATACCTCTGCTAAGAGAGGCTGAAAAGTCAGTATGTCTAACTTCTGCTCCACACATCTTCTTAAATCATCTGGTACAGTATAATGTGGGAGAAAGCTTGGCAAATGCTTTCTGTGATTTCTAAAACAAAAATGTACAACAGATCATTTAGCTTTCTCAAATTATACATGTGAAAAACAGCTAATTAAAGTGCCACATCATCAAGGCTATAAAGCCAGAACATGCACACACAACAGGCCAAATGATTCCTTCAAAGTCACAATTAGGAAGTTTGCTGTACTGGGAAGAAAGGTAAGTGTTCCAGTTACAGATTATTGGAAAACATCATGTGTCTGCTTTTTCAGGTTAGGGATATTTTTATAACCAAACTAATACTCTAAGCATAATGGAAGCTTATGCACAAAGGAAAGTTCTTTTGCGAATGAAAGAATGGGCAACGTTTATCACACACAGATCTCAAAGCTGCTTGAGCAGTAAAGAAGCCAACTCTCAGAAAAATATTTCAGTTTTTCCATATTGTTTCTTAATTACGCAATTGTTACTTGTAGATCACTATGCAGCAGCATTTATCTTCTTTATCACATTATATGGCAGAAGGAGCTCATGTTTGAGAAGTCTACAGAGAAATCAAGCAGTTCATTACTATAAAAACCCCTTCCATCAGTAATGCCCACACCTATCTTGTTTGCAATATACATACATAAACATGTACAGACTCTCCCAGATTTACATTTTCTTTGTCAGCATTACAGAACAAATGTAGCAATATCAAATAGAGCACCATTAGGTAAGCGTTGTTCTTTGTTCTAATTCACAGTACCTTCTGTATTTAGGGACAACCACCGTCGTCATCCTTGGCTGAGGTTCTGGATTAATTTTAGGCATTCTTGGAGAAAATGGTTCCACAGGTGCTAGTAGTAATTCTTCTTCACTTGTTACAGTGGCTTCAATATAACGTCCCACAGTAAAATCAGAAAAACCAAGCAACAGGAGTTCTCTACTGTACCCGGGATTTCTTCAAGTAAGCAGAAGTTAAGTTTTTAAAACCATCATGTTCACACTTTATTTTCCTCAGCCGTAAGTATTTTTAAAAACAGCACTGCAGATTCTCATTTCAGTAACACATGAGAACTGCTAATTTAGGTAATTCCTCACACTTCATCCCCACTCGAAGTTCAATTCTGGTACAATAAATAAGAAGTAAAAATCTCAACCCCCCTATTTCATCAATAGCTTGGGTAAAGAGCAAAATCGTTCCCCTCAACATATTAGGTACAGAACTGATATGTCTGTCACAAGGAACATCTTGGAACTACTGTTACTGAAAAAGACTGGCCAAACATTTCCATCAGAGGAGCCTAAAGCGTATCCCTTCATTGTCTGCAGAAACAGTGGTTTGCTCTACCTTGCTTAAGGCTACTCAGAACTGAACCCTAACTGTGAACACATTAAGAGAAGCAGAAGTATCCTTTATTCCTGAAAAATGCACTTTATACATGTAAGTGGTGCTTGGGGAGTGTCAGAGAGGAAAAAGAATTAAAAAAAAAAGAAAAAATAATCAGAGGGAACAGTTTCTTCAGACTGGTTTCTAATGAATTTAAGACAAAAGACTTAACACACATGATCTGCTCTGAAATCCTTTAATGAAACCATCCCAACATTACCCAGAGCCCGATTCTCTCCTTGGCACTAACTACACGGTCCAACACTATTACAATGTGCTTAAAACAAAGGCATTTCAGAAGGATTCCAGTTTTCTCTTTGCCAGTACCACTTTCTCATGCCACCTAACACTACCTGCTCAGGTTAAAGCTGAAGCCTGTTTTTCTCTGATACACAAACTCAGCACAGACACTGAACTGTCCAGATTTATGGTCTAAATTTGCAGTCTCTATGGTCTCTTAAGTGGCCAGCTTGCACTTGTTACCTTCATGCTGCAGCCTCCCATGGAGTTTTGTGTGGGTTGCTCTGTATTAACAGAAGGTTCTCAGACTTCGTGGCATTTACAGATCTACAGTGAGGTATACATTGTCCTTTCTACATGTCTTTCTTCACAAAGGCAGGCCACGCTGCAGCTTATCTTTCAAACAGCAACTAAATTATCCTCCTAAGATTTCTACCCCTTGCCTCACTATTTAAAACGGTAACAGAAGTAGGGTGAAAGTTAATGCAGTGTTGCTTTGATGAATGAAACTATTTGATGGTGTTTTACTCCATCCTAACTTCAAAGGTATCATCATAAGAGTCAATGGTTGTGGTACACAGCATTTACAGAACGATAGCCAGAAGTAAGTAAGCTTTCCAATACTGAAGTTCCTATCCTGAAAGAGCTCACACAAAGCCACTTTTTATTCTTAACTAAATCCATGAAATATTTTGTACAGCAAAGTATTTTTGCTTTTCAAAATGTCCTCTATAAATTACACCCTTAAGGAAGAAAACTTTTTTTCTTTTCTATTTCAGCATACATAATCTGCATTTAATATGATAGGACATGGAAGCTTGAGATTGAAGAATGCAGCAATATAAATATGACATCAGGGTACTAAGACTGGAAAAAACTTATCAGGCGCAACATAAAAACTCCCAGGAAATCTATATTAGCTCTAATGTTCATGGAGCAATGGATTTCCCAAACCAGCTGTACGCATTATCTTCACCTTACTGTGTTTTTTAAGAGAAGTTATCTACTCCCATTATATTTCTCCATTTGCTGCTACCATTTTTTTTTGACAAAATTCAGAATCATGCACTAAAATGGTAACTACCTACATTACTGTATTTGCTAATATACACTGGCTTATATTATCCTACACCAAAAACTGTGCCCACAATAAGGGAACTATTAAGTCAATTTTTATTACTTGTTTCCATTGTACTGGTCAGAACCAATGGGAAGAAATACTTACACAGCTGTGCATATGACCACTATGAATGTTCTTCCACCTGGCGGTATGACAATTTCTCCAGTAATATTGACATGCCCTATTGGCTGTTCCACATCTTCTCTTTGCTCCTTTTCTACATTATGTAGATTTTCATCTTTCGCCAAGGAGAAGTTTTCTTCTGTCCTTGATAGATTTGTATCCTCAGAATTAATTCCTTCTGTAGTAAACAGATTTTAACAAACTCTGTTACCCCAATTGCTACTGCTGGCATAGGCAAATCATCTCAAACTTACAGGTATTCTAAGGAGTTAATACTCAGCATTCAAATGATAACATTTCACTGTACCTGGAATGACCCCATTCTTCATAATGGATGTATTATGCAATGACTCATATGTTGTTCCTCCACTGTTATAGGAATTAACTGCAGCTTTTGAAAGGTTTTCTTGATGTATTGGAAAAGATGACAGATATGCTTCTGGACTGGTCTGGCATTTTTGAGGCATCTGAAAACTGAATTGCTTGTGTTTCATCCATCCGGCTAATCTGCAGCTGATTAAGGGCTGTGGTGCACACCCTTTATTCCTAGAAGTAGTTATGTAATTAATTACATAATTAAATGCTTAGTTAATGTTCTTGGGAAGCTTAATTCTACCTGAAGTCAAATAAACCGTCTGTAGCAGCTTTGTTCACCATTATTTTACAACCACTGTCAGAAAGAAATTGCACTGCTGTTTCTAACTTATGAGGACTAAAACCTCTGCTACATATTAGTATTCCTAGGTCAAATCAGCTACTACTATGAAGCATACAAATATTCTGTACTTAAAAAAAAAAAAAAAAAGCTATGGTAACTTAAAAATTTATCATTGGATTACTAATTCTTAGGAAAGAGCATACAGAAACAAATAGAGGGTATTCAGCTATGACTTCATTTGAGCCTCTATGCCCAGATGTTCAGGGAAAAAACTCCTAAAACCCCCCAAAATAAAGAGAAAGCCACCAAAACAAAACCCCCTCAAAGATAACACCTATCTAGTTATTCAGCATCCAAGTTAAAAGTGTCCACTTTTAATATATTAGTAAGCAACAGCCTCTTGGTCTAAGATTTTGAAGACAACAGCATATCTGCAGTCTATTTAAACACACGTACAAGTACAGCATTTAATTTAATTCTCATTCCAGGACTGGATTTTATTAGGATTGAAAAGAGACATAGGATTGGAAAATCTCAAAGCAGTATCTGCAAGATAGATGCAAAGTAAGAAGATTATCATAAAGACATTAAATTCAATATGGAATTCTCTTTAATTACATAGTATTTGAAGGGTTATTTGAAGACCATGAACCACAAGGCTCAACTATGAGAGGCTTCTGTATGAAAGACAGGTTTACAGACTGTGAAGTGATGGAAAGAAAGAAAGCAAGCTTAAAAATCAGAAAGGCTTACTCTATCCAAATGATCATCCTTTTAGATTCTCCCTGCTTCAGAGTTCCAAAATTAGTCATTCTTGAGACTTCCAACCCTCCTTTGTCTCTCATTAAGTCTTCATAAGGCCCATCCACATTGACTCCATTAGAGTGAAATTGTCTGTAAAAATAATTTTAGCTAGTAATTTGAAACAAAGAGATTCAACAAATGTCTTTGATTCAGCACAAATTTAAGAATCACTATAAACAAAGCACAGGCACAGTACTGAGGAAGAAGCAGGTGAGAGGGTTCACTTTTTCTTGGCTACTTACACTTCCGAGACAACTTGATTACCTTTACTAATTTAAGCAGCAAGTCTGCGGCACAGTAAATCAGCACAAAAATTTGGATACAAGGCTAAAACGATTAAGCAACGAGCTGATCTTTGCTCAAGAGCTGAATCAAATCGTGACTAAAGCTGTTACGATCTCCTTGGGAGCTGAACCAAGACACAATAAAAGAACAGTTCCTGGTTAGCACTGGAACTTAAGAGATAAAATGACTAGACTGGACGTGTTTCAGTACGTACTCCAGCACTTATGTCTTCTGCTTACTATTACAATCTGAAAGCAGCAAATAGAAAAAGAAATTTTTAAAAAGCTGAAAATCAAAAAGCACCCTTAAGAACAATGAGGCACACTGCTGATGAAAAATGCCTATGAAACCAAAGTCACATGCTCTTTCCTGTCTCAGACAGTGACCAGAGCTCTCTCAGTGTCAGCTACCTGCAGAAACAATTCAAAAAATTGTTTCTATTCTACCATTAAGAAACTACTCTGTTAGATAAAGTGGCATGAAAATAACTTGGAAGTGTTTTAAGTGTTGCTAATATTTGAACACCCTAAGTTATCCTTAGTCAAAGAGTCACAGAATCATAGAGTAGTTAGGGTTGGAAGGGACCTTAAAGCTCATCTAGTTCCAACCCCCCTGCCATAGGCAGAGCCACCTGCCACTAGACCAGGTTGCTCAAGGCTCTGTCCAGCCTTGCCTGGAACACTCCCAGGGATGAAGCACTTACCACTTCTTTGGGCGACCCATTCCAGTGCCTCACCACCCTCACAGTAAAGAATTTCCTCCTTATATCTAACCTGAACTTCCTCTGTTTAAGTTTGAACCTATCACCCCTTGTCCTACCACTACAGTCCCTCATGAAGAGTCCCTCTCTGGCATCCTTTAGGCCCCCTTCAGATACTGGAAGGCTGCCTCATATGAGGTCATCTAATATAATAAAGTAGAAAATGACTGCAGCCGTTTTTTATTAGCTATGCCAATTTACTAGCAAAGCCCACTAGATGTCTCCCACTGCAGCTTAAGCTGCCTCAGGTTTTTGGTACGGTAGGAAATAAAGTAAACCTGAGAAATCAATGCAAAGGTGTACGTTTGTAACTTGGCTTTAGTAAGAATTTTCTGTATAAAATCCATCATTAAAAATAGGTCCAACTGAAAAATAAGTGAACAAGTTGTACTATTGTGCAAAGTGATGTAAACACTTCAAGCTTTATCTAGGTACAATTTAAACTTACTGTATCCATTTTCTCCAGTAAAAACTGCTTATTCAAATCTTCACAGTGCCTGGCAAGTTCTCCAAATGGCAACGTTGGAGAGGTGTCAGGATGCTCTTTTTGCTCTCTTTAGGACTTCCCACTTGGTCAACAGCTTATTTTTGGCTTGCACAATCACACTCAATAATCCTACCAAAGCCTTGTTAGCACTGAGTGACAGATTTTACAGGTAATAGCCCTATTTATACATATTTGGGCAATACTTGCGCTTTTCACAGGACAGACACTCAAATGCACAAGCCAAACTCCAGATCTTTGCTGCAGAACTGCTACTGACTAGTCGTTCCCTTTCTACATTTGTGTAGTTGTTTACTGCACAAAATTTTGCTTGTTCTCCTTAACGATCATCTATTTTTTAGAACTTTTTCCAACATCTGTCCAGATCCTCTTCACAACCCATATGGTCTCTCAACTGCCTGCAGAACCTCTCAGTTTGGTATGTGCAAGCCCAATGAATCTCTACTCCTCAGATCACTGAACTACTCTGTTTAAGACAAGATACCTGAAGAATACCACAACTCAAGCAAAATGGATGAAAGATACAACCATTTTACACTGGTTTTGTTGAGAATGGTTTCAAGAATAAAATCCTCCCTAGAAGAACACAGAGGAAACACAAGGTAAGAGCATGAGCATGGCATTTTTCTAACAAAACCATGCAAAATTTCTGCCTTGCCTAGCATTATCCATGAGCTACTACTAGTTTTGCTTCTCTAGTAAGCACAGGCATCTTCACCTTTTGGAAAGGAATAAAAATCAAGGGCTGAATCGTACCACGCTGATCTTTCCTTTATGCCTTCTAATCAACTAGTGAAAATTCACAGTATTTCTTTATTTAACAGACGCAGAAAAATTTAATTGCATAACTGCAATTAATGTCTAGTTGCTGTGGAAAGATCTGTTGTGGAAAAAGAATCAAAGAATGAACATTACCCATCCTGGCTGACAGGCACCAAGCAGAGAGCTCTCCAAACGTAACACGACTGATTGCTCTCCACCACTACTGCATTCACTAGGTCATGTTTACACGGTGAATAGCCATCAGGAAGTCTCAATGAATCCAAAGTGAAAAATATACTCTCATTTACTGTACCACTTCTTCCACAGATGCTGGAAATGCGAACCTGAAACAGTTTGTTATTCAGTGTTACTTGAGATTATCTGCTTAAGCTACCTACCATTATCAACCATTGCATAGCTTTTTCCTGAAACAATCATTCCAGCATTAACTGAGCTGCATTCTGAAGTTTCAGTTGCTCATGGGAGGTAAACATACAAATCTAACCTGGTATCACCATGCTTGTCTTTAGATTTGGAAGTGTAAAGAAACACAACTACTTCAGATAAGTGTAAGGTTTCACTGAAATGATACTACAATATGTGTATTTGACTTAATCATGATACCTGTCTTGTGACGTACCAACTTACCTAATTTATACTTCAATATTACCAGTCACAAGAGAAGAAATTTCTTCCTATGCCCAACATGCAAATATTATTCAGTATCTACAGATAAGGCAAATATAATAAACCATAAACCTAGTACACGTATTACTAGAGGGAACAAATATTTTCATTAAAATGAAAAAGGGGACAACAGTTGTTTTCAAGGCAAAACACTTGGATAAATTAAACAAGATAAATTTCACAGTCATTACTTCTCAAAGTTTGAAAAATACATTCATTGTAATGAGGATGTGCGTACCTAAACCAGTAAGCATCCAAATCAACAATCGATAGCCAGTAAATAAGTTACTCTTCCTGTTCCAACCAAAATGCGTGTGCTTTTTCAAAAGGCTTTGCTATTTTAGAAATAATCCTAGAAATGGATGAGGTGATATGCTTTATCTTTTAATTAAAGATGCGTTACAGAAGATCTACCAATATTAGCAACTTAAAGCCACTTTCAAAACTCCACTTCACACAAGACTCCTCTTGCCAAAAATAATATACTGAACATTTACCTTGTTTACTTGCTTGTATCTCAAAGGCTTTACAGCAACTGCTTCACTGTTCCATGTTGTTGGGTTAATAAAATACTTTGCTTGCACACAGTCACCTTCATAAGGTTTGAAGCCTATGTAAAACAGAACATTTCTCAAGTTTAATTGCAACTGATGCCTTCTGCATTACTTTCATGCAGAACTAGTTTAAGTTAAATGAAATAACCAGCCAGAACAATACATCATTCAAATCCAGTGAGTTCAAACTTCTCTTAGCAGTTCTTCCCCCAACAGGTTATTACAAACTATGTAAGAGATGCTAGTGGAAAAATACACTTGCTTGCACATAACTTATGCTTACATGACTGCATGCCAGTCACGAACACATAGCTTTCTTCACCCAAACTCCATGTTTGCTTCACTACATACATGCTGTTAGAACTTATTTAGGATGTTGAATGCAAGCTTATCAGAAGATATTTCTACTGTACATATAAAAAAATTAAGGAAGAGCAAATAAGAAGAAAGCCCCTACAGACCTTCACAGACATCTTCCATTGCAAAAAATGTATAGCAATTAATATAGCCACCATCCTTAGAGACAGAGGTAATGTTTCCAATTAATGTTTTCATATTTCGATCAGAAGCATCACCCGTAGGACTGGAGTCTCCCCAGGCATTTTGGGCAGCATCTACCTATTAATATGAAAAACCCCAACATTCAAACAGCTGATACTTAGGCTTATATGTTAAACATATTAATACAATAAATATCAGAATTTCAACTGCTTATGGAAGTCAAGCTACTTATTAGATGATTTTACACTCACTGTAGCTGTTCGTTTTTGTACACAAAACCCATGAATATCGCTAGTAACTTCTTTTTTAAGAAGTTTGTGGAATCTTGCAACACTGACAACTATTAGAATTACATGCTGATTTGTCAAATCTCTCATGCTTCTTTCTCTTGCTTTAGTTCTACATAAGAGTTTTCCTCATATTGACAAAAGGACCACCACTCTCCCAGCAATCTGCCTGTATACAAGTGGAATGAGACCATCACTGTTTCAGAAAGAAAAAAAAAACTATGTTTTCAAGATGTTATTTACAAACACTCTATGTATTTCAGACTCCCCACAGTCATTCTTTAATGATTAAAAAAAACCCAAAACAACACAAAAACAAACACAAACCCCAAAAGTTCAAGATCTGCTTTGTACAGACTCCCCATATTGCCACCTTGAATGTAAGTTTACTTGCTTAAACAGCCAACTACTTAAACAGCAGAACACCAGCTACAAACTATCAGTGTATGCAATTCCTCCTCTCCCCCCAGCTATGCTGGGGCAAGGATATATCATCTCCGCTCTTAAGTACTGGAATTCTTAGAACTGCGAGCTCTCTTCCTTGCTCCCAAACGGCCACCTCCATCATGGGTTCAGGCTTGAGAGGCTGTGCAGTCTTTCTCCATCTGTGGAGTTTTCACGACCTGAATGGATAAAGCCCTGAGTCACCTGGATCTGACCACAAGCTGATCCTGCTTTGAGCAAAAGGTTAGACTAGAAATTGCCTGAAGCCTGGTCCAATTTCAACTGTACTATGACCCTACTTTCTATATGATCCATTTTGTTGAACATAATAAATATTACCATTTAAGATAGTAATAAAGAGCTTAGGTCTACCTCTACTCCAGAGTTGGCAAACATTACTGTTAAACTATATGTAACTACTTATGGTTTAGTCAGTATTGCTATATTGCATTAAAAGAACTATTACTACATGGTATTTTTTAAAATGACCCAAAAATTCACTTAAAAAAAAAAAAAAAGAAAAAATTATGTTTTGCTTCAGTCCAACAGATATTATCTTCACATTCACCAAGAACATCCAAGAATATTGAACTTTCTCCCAAGCAATTTGTATGACTTCATATGGATAGAATCTGGAGAAGCAATTACATTGTTCCACAGAAGACTAGTAAATTTACAGGTAATGTAAGTTAGATATGGAGTTACACTTGCAAGTACACCTAAGGAGATGCTTTCAACATGTGAAAAACCTTAAACCTCCCCAAATTAAATTTTTTTTTTTTTTTTTTTTTTTTTTTTACATTTCTCAATTTTCATTTACCGATGAAGCTGCGAAGTTGTTCCTTGTACTAGCTCAAAACAAGTCTTCCTGCTACCACTGGTAGCAGCCTGGTAGAGTTTGCTGCAGAACTAGTTATTTAGGGCAGGGTTTAATTAGGCTTGACCTGAAATAAACTGAAACCCAGAATTCTGAGATAGGATCTTTCCAAAACAAGGCGAGTAGCTCCAAACAGCAACTAAAACAGTACACTGAGCAGAGGGCTACGCAAGGCTGACCACACTCTTCCTTAAAGAAGGTAATACAAAAAAAACTACTGACACCTCAGAAGTTTGAACTGCACTGTCCAGACTCTCCCCAAACCTACATGCTGGCAGTGCTCAGTCCATAGAGCTTGCATTCATTTCTGATTCAGAGCCATACCTTTAAGGTTACTTCAAAACCAAAAGTTAAGAGGCAATATTCAGGTTTTTTTGAAGGAGATAGTACTGGTGCTCAAGCACAGCATTGTATAATATTTAACGATTATACTTGTCAGGAAGCTGTTTTATTTTCTTCTGTCCAAAGGACTGAACAGAGACTTCCCTCGGCCCAAAAAAAGCCTATGACTGAAATGCTGGTGGCTGTTTCGAGCAAGCTCTCAAGGGCATCTCAAGTTTGTGCTGCTACATGGAAAGCAATTCAAGATTTATCAGAGTACAGAATTAGTTCAGTTTTTTAACCAAGTACCTAGAACAGACCCTTCAGAGAAGGGAGACTAGTGCTGTTCTTCTTAAGTATTTTACAGCAACAGACAAAATCTTGGGACCAAAAGTGGCAACCCTGGACTCCTTATGCAGGAAGTCCATTACAGTCATGGTTGCTCTTACCCAACAGTAACTTTGATACCTTCCCCCCACACACACTCTTGCATTCTCGAAAAGAACACTATACAGCTTTCCTTTTTATTTGCAGGAGCTCACATATTACTGTGTACTTTGACAAAATCTTTGTCTCCCAGCTTATTAAATCAAGACTGCTGTTGGATGATGACTTTCTATGGAGTCCAGTCAGCTTTAGGCACAAGATGGCTTTAAGCTACTCATCCAGTCACAAACTACATCGTCAGAAAGATCTTCTGAGATGCCCGCAGGGCTTAAGACTGTCCTGGTTTTGGTTGGGATGGAGTTAACTTTCTTCCCAGTAGTTGATAACAGTGCTGTGTTTTGGCTTTAGTCCAGTGTTAATAATGCACCTGCTGGCTGGGTTTGAAGCACGACAATGACTCATCGCAAACAGGAACAAGATAAATCATTAGGTTTATCCCCAGTATTCTGAAAAGGCCATTATCTAGCATATACAGCAAAGCATCCCATAACTGCTAAAATATCCTAGTTGTTGGAGAGCAATTTATACAGTTTCTCAGTTAACAGGCTTATGCATTTTGGAGTGACGACAATATTTCAATAGTATTGTGAAAACTTGTCAGTCAGAAGGAAAACAAGGAAGGAGAAAGATTTAAATTAACATATTTTTTGACTGTTTGTGAGAGTACTATTTTGCCAACCAGCACCAAATTTGCTTGCTGGACTTATGGTATTTAGTTTCATGTAAGAAAGTCATTCACTTAAAAAACAAACAAAAAAACAAACCAAAAAGCAGACACACACAAACCCCAAAAGTTATCTTACAAGACACAAGGTTTTGATAGCACTAGAGCTGCTAATATTTTAGAAGTGAGACTTCTCTTTCACTTTCCTTCTACGTTTCATTTTAGACCATACGACAAAACTTTCTCCCCACTAACATTCTTTCCTCAGCTTTATTTGATCAATGAGACTGCATTGGTTTCAAAATCAAACATATTCTGCTAAGAAAAACTCTCTTTAATTTTGTATGTAACTGTAGCTCATTTTACAACTTAGTATTGCTGTCTTGGCATGAAACATCTTATTTACTTCAGACTTCAGGTATTATTCTTGTTGCTATTTTGAGTTAAAGGAAGCCCAGAACAGAGAAAAATAGAAGCATGCAACATTTAAAATCTTCCTGAAATAAATTATTAAAAAACAGATGCCAAACAAACCCAGATTAAAAAAAACAAGGTAAACAAACTCCCAGTTGATAATTAACTGCCAGCATCTCAGAAATAGTTTTCATGAGATTAGTTATTACCAAACCAGCAACAGATCTTGAAATAAGTCTGTACAAGTAACTGTACTCCATTTCCTCAGTAGTCTATGGATGTCACACATACATACAAACGCATCTAAACCCTCGAACACTATACAGAGTAAAAGGTAAATCAAGTTAGTCTTCCAAGATTTTTATTTTCTGTCTACTCCTACTTGAGGAGTCACATTTCTAGTCAACTTCATTTTACCAGACACAGCACAGCTACTGCCAATTTAGCCATTAGAGGAAGAAAAATCCTCAAGAGGTCTGCATTTATTTTAATCTTCAATCCAGCCTCTAGAGAGGAGTTTATCCTGTGCAATTCATTATTTCAGCCAGAAAACTTGTCTTCTCTATTAACCTCACATACATCTCATGGGCTATTATCATGTTGAGATGAAAAACATATCTATTATTGACCAATAATGATTACAAAAAAGGCTTTCAGCTGGCATCTAGCATCTTTGAATTGATTTCCTATTTATAGGTTGAAGATCT